GTGCAGTCATATGTCACTTAAGGAGGGGGATGTGTTCTGAGAAATGCATCATTAGGGGATATCATCATTGTGTGAACATGATAGAGTGTACTTACACAAACTTAGATGCTATAGCCTACTATACACGGAGGCTATATGCTACTAATCTTATGGGGCCACTGTTGTATAAGCAGTCAGTCACTGACTGCAACTTTATTATGTGGCTCGACTATATAATAGAAATAAGTATAAGTAGGAAAAAGATATAAGTAGGCATTTTGCACAAAGGACACATGCATGGCTAAAACCAGTCAAGAAAAATGCATAACCTCACTATTAATCAAGGAAATTGTATGATAACAGCAATTAAATCTAGTGAGTAAATAGTAGTTGTGGGAGATGTGAAACAATAGGAAATCCATAAAATTGCTAGCAGCTGTTTAAGATAGAATGACCACTTTAAACAGCAATTTAGTAATATCTGAACGAAGAAATTTCTCTCCTGAGCATATCACCTCGGGTCAAATAGTTCCACTCCTGGGTATATACCTTATAGAATATCTTGCATATGTGTATTAGAAGATAACGAGCAATAATTTTCAGTGCAGAGTTTTTTTGTAGTAGCAAAAACATTAGAAACAATTGAAATGTCCAACAAATGCAGAATGAACAAGTGCATTATGGAATACTTATTGAAATGAAGTGAATAAAATAGTCTAAGCACACAAGCATGGATTATCTCAAAAAAACATACAGTTGAACGAAAGAACTGTTGCACATGGATACTACACTATGGCCATTTTGTTTATATTTTCCTATATGCAGAATGGAATTTTATGTCTTAAAATCAAATTCAGGAATAAAACTTCTTTTGGGAAAGCAGGGAAGTGGTGCTTTGGGCAAGAGCACACAGTTAACTTCAATTTATTTATAATGTTTAATTGCTTAAGACGGTGATAGGTGCATGAGTGTTACTTATATTATTCCCTCTGCATTTTTGCATAGATAATAACTTTGATAAAAATATACTCAGAAAGAAGGATGTGTAGGAGTTTAAAGATCCTGTTAAGAATATGTAAATGGACACTATCAAGTTTTTTGCCATATTGGCTTAGGTTTCTCTTGAGAATCTAACTATCCAGTGATTCACAGTAGCATCTACATGTGCATGATTATTGTTGTAACTAAAATGTGAGCCTATAATTTGTGTGGAAAATTGAAAAGCTGTACAGTTTGACAATTCTCTGACATTACGGTAGACCCTCAGATACTCTCTCCAAGCCCACCATGAATCTCTGTATACAGGCACTTGAAAAGTGTAACTATATCAAAATGTCTCATCTTTCCTGTTTTTATTTTATAAAAATAAGTTATTCTATGGGCACTGGTGAAAAGTAATGGTTCAATGAGTAAATATTGACTTAAGGCACACAGCAGAGCAATTCTCTAACTCTCTAACATATGTGTGACAAGATGGAGAACCATCTGTTTTCTGAAGATAGGAACTTAAGCCAATATATCCATTTTGAAATATTGCTATATATACACACCCAAATTACTGCATAGGTATATATGAGTTTTAAGAAAAAAAGCTCAATTTATGAATGCTTTCATCCTAGCATATAAGCCCTATGCACAACTCATCACAGGTTTCCAGGAGTAATGCTTCACTTAAGAGTAACTTAATGTGGAGATCTTAAGCTTCATTTCATATAAACAATCACGAACTCTTTTTCTCACCACAAGTTTAAAAGACAGGATAAACATCTTTCTCTCACCAAGCTCATGTTGCAAAATTGGAAAGAGAATGACGCTAATGATGGTAAACCAGTTTTATTTTTAATTTAGTTGTTTAAGAACTGTGATTTCCAACAGTTAAATCATTGTCTACTTAAGAAGAATGTGAACTTGGACTAATGGAGACTGAACAAATCCTTAGAGAATCTCATCATATGTAATGACACATGAGTCAAATGTGAGGGAAATAGGAAAGTTTAGAATTTCCATAAAATTTACAGAAAAAAATCTGATGCCTATATGTCAAGAATAATAAATTTGTACTCAAGTGACAGTGGTTGACACTACATTAAGTTAATGAGACAAACATTGGGAAAGATGAGTTTGAGTTAAAAAGAAATTTTAAGTTTAAGCTATTGGGAAAATTGCACATAAATATAAAAAAAATGGGTTCAAAAAAGATGCAAAATATGTTAAAGATTTGAGTTAATTTTCAAAAAGTGGCTAAAAGAGGAGAATATCTGCTGGAGAAATTTTCTCAAGAATCAAATAATTACCTCAAATGAGCCAAAAGCTGTATTTTAAAATGGGGAGAGATATAATAGATTAGAGACTAGACCGGCAGAGGAAACTTAATCTATTTGGTCAGTAAAGATATTAAAGACAGTTAAGATCTTTGTTAAGCAAGGATGTATAGATTGGGAGAGTTATTTAGTTTTATTTTAGCTATGAGTTCTCGGATGCAAAGATATTCATTAATGATTACAGGTAATTTGAAATTCTGTCCTCTCTGTTTCAGTACATTGTCTTAGTTGAATTAGGTTATTTGTATTATAAGAACAAGAGTAAAATGTATTAGTATAAGAAATGTGAATGTTTAAAAAGTATGTTAATACTTTTATGAAAGTAAATTAATTCAAACAATATTATGGCAAATGAAGCAATAGGATAAAGTTTAGTTGCAGAGCTGTGATGGTGGAAACTACAAATAAAAAACGTCAGCTTAACCAAGTGGTAGCTAAATATTTTACGATTCTTAAGATAAAAATAATAAGTTCTAACTTTCTCTATTTCTGTGTAGATGGACACTATATTGCACCTATTATATCTGACACCATTAAATATTTTACAAATATTGAATCTGATTATGTAAATAGAAATAATGTAACATGTTTAGGAGTTTAGAAGACTAAAAAGAAAGATGCTAAGCTGCATGTAGTTAATTTTATAATACTTAACCTCTGGGGTGTTTGATTAATGTTTTTTGCTGCTGCTTGTGACTCTGAAGAGGAAAGTGATAGATGCTAAAGAAGATTCTGAAGGGAATTCATGATGATGGAATATGTAGGAATGGAAAGGGTTTCTATACTAGAGAAGGGAAATAAAACTGAGTAAGAGTCGCTGTGAGACTGTCTTTGCAATATTCTACAAGCTTTTGTACAATATTATTCTATAAAGGAAATCTGTCTAAAATTATTAACGGTAAGAAATTTAGCTGGGGTAGTCTTCTAGATTGTGTGTGACAACCATATTGTGGTAGACTGATGAATTATGCCATAAAAAGCAGAGATCTTCAGGAAACTGACATGGTTTGAGGTTTTATTAAAAAGGCAATCTAGCCATGTCTTCTCTTTTTTCTAACTCCCTTCCTCCACCCCATAAGGACATGTAAGGCCATAAACCTTTCCAATTACTGCAGTTGAAAGTATTTCGTGGAAATGATCTTGCAAACTAGAAAGTATAAGCCTATTTCCAGGTTTCTAGGATTGTATAGTGTGTATATTAGTAATTAAAATGAGAAAGTTGCCGGGGCTAGGAATACAACTTGGGAAGTCTTAATAGAAAAAATCCAGCAGAGATTCCTTCCTCTTTAAATATGATTTGGACTGGATATATACAAATGCAGGATATAAATCAGGACCAGATATTCAGCCAGAATCCAGAATATATCAACGTCTGAAACTAGAGTATGGTCAGAATTGCACCAGAACCACACAGCTCTCACGCTAGCAAATTGTACGCGGGCTCTGTGTTTACACACGTATACACAAACTCATGTTAATTTATATACTGTAGTTAAGATAATTCTATATTATGCCCAAATATGTGAGTTCACTTCTTCTCTACTGATGCTTTTATTGTAATTACATTATACTGAGTTTGAGCAAAGCCACAGAGATGATGCTAAATCAGTAAATATTGCATATATGAGAGAAACAGCATTTAAAAATAATAGTGCCTGAATAAAGTTTCTTCCTGTTGAGATAGATCCTCCATATACACACACATGCGCACCCACAACTCTACATACACCTCCACATAATATTTTGCATATTGGATTATATTTCCTTAGAAAATTTGATATCAAGTCATTCTGAAATATATAAAATGAGCATAATTCTCTACTTAATAAAGCTTTTGGAAGCTAATAAATTTTTAAGTATTTCATATCCTATATTAGCTAAAATCAGCTTTGAAAGTTAATGCAAATTATACTTGCTAAATTTAGGAATGGAGTATAATTCTAGGTAATTTAAGAATGACAATAAAAGTTTCAATTGAAAAAAATCTTTGCTTGCTAGACAATTTTACAGATATTTGGTGGTTCATGTGCCTATCTTTGTGTTTTCTCTTACCTAAAGTGCACAAGAAAAGCTAGAGAGCAAAGAAGAGACACAACATGACCTTCAGAGAAAGTGATACAATTCAAAACAGAATAAATTTGGTCTATAATGATGATATTTTTGGCTTTAATAGCTTGATTATATAAAATATTCTCAATTACATGGTCTCTGTTCAGTGTGTTTAGTTAATAAGGAATACACTATAATTTACAAAACATTTATGATGTTTGAGCAAATATATTCATTTGGAAAAGTAATCAAATAGAATACTTAACATAATATTATAAACATAAATATAAAGAATAATTAAACATGAAATGATTTACTTTTATACTTACATCACGCTATTAAAAAGCATTGAAAAGAAATAAATAGTTTTTATGGTAAAATTTTAGTTTTAATTTGAGATTTAATATTTAATGACTGAAATGGGAAAAATCAATCTTATTTTCACTTACATTTATTTTCTAATATTCCATCTCTAAATGAAACATTATTACCTGCAATTGATTGCAATTTAATTATACTATAAATTTTATCTTTTAAAATCTCATTATGTTAATTTTGGCTTTAAATTACATAACGTTAGCAGGAAAATTGCCTTTAATGTAATTATAAATTACTCTGGTGTGAAACTTGTCACAAAGTAAACATGCCTACCATTGTCGTCTCGGCGATAGAGCCAAAGCTGTTTATGAATATATTGCATGTGACATTAACTGGAGGGCCTGAAAAAGAGATTAAAACATAAGGGATATTTAGATACTTACGTAAATATTTTCAAATAACTTCTCATTAGTAGTTTTTAAAAAAAGAATAGTTTTTAATACATATATACACATAGATGCTTAAAATTGAAGGCAATCATTCTGTGAAATAATCTGGATTGCAAAGCACAAATTCATGGCCTCCTTTGAGCCCTGACGCTGGCCATGATATAAGTCAGTAACCTCTTGGTCTCGGTTTCCTTGATCTAGATACCGCCAATGGCTCTGTAAATGTCTGCTTGAGTAAGTCCAACCTCTGAGCTTCTACATGGGGTTTCTGTTGAGTCTCCCCTTCCCCCAGTGTATGGGTCATATTTCCCTGCTTCTTTGTATGTCACATAATTTTTGGTTGAAAATTGGATACTTTAGATAATATGATGTGGCAACTCTGGAAATCAGACTCCCACTTCCAACCCATAGTTTGTTGCTGGTGTTTTTTATTTTATTTGCTGTTCAGTGACTTGGAATAATACCGTAAAGTCTGTATTTCCCTATGGTGTGCAGCCACTGAAGTCTCTGCTCAATGAGTTTAGTGGTCAACTAATGATTGCTCAGAGATTTCTGAAATGTCTGGAACCAATAATTCTTCCATCCTTTGCCAAGGGACTTCATGTTTGTTTTGCCTGTAATGCTCATGCTTCACCTTTCACTTCCTGCTTGCACAGGGTCTGAGGTCAGTCAGAGGTGAGAGATTGGGGCCCTCCTAGGACTTTCCTGGGCAAGCACAATGGCCCTACACATGCGTGTAGCCTCCAGATCCACAAGAATATATCAGAACTTTCCAAAGCTGCCTATGGGCATCTCATTCCCCAGATTTTCTTTTAAACTTTTTGTTCAGGCTGGTCCTTGCTCAACTGGTATCGTAACTTTAGGCAGCTTCAGTGTTAACCAATTTCCTGTGATCATTTACAACAAATGCCCTGGAGATAGGGTTTTCCCACTGAGGGAGTTCTCAGTCAAAGTCAAATCATGACAAGCCCTCTGAGTGGGACTCTGAGGGAGTGGGCCAGAGAGGTCAAGCAGTAACATTGCTCTGGGGATGGAATTTCTGAGGCGCAAACTGGTCTGCCTCCTCTGATAGTTGCGAGGCTGCTGGATTTTACAGTTTTTTCTGGTTGAGAAGCTGCTGGTTTTCAAGGTTTAACTGTGGAGCTGGGGAGTGCGGCTGTGTTTAAACGCCCTCAGTTCTTAGAAAAATTCATCAGTGTTTCTTGAATAAACTCTCTTCAGTTTGTTGCAAGCTTTTGGTTAATTTTCAGAGTTCTGAAGGTTAAGTTTTATAATTTCCCTGGTGTTTTTATTGCTTTTTTGGAGGAGTGAATTTACAGAGTTTTTCACTCTACCATTCCAGAAATCCCCTGTTTAAGTGCCTGATTTAGCATGCATCATAAAACAAAGGATTTCTATCTTTATGAGGCCCATTTCTTCATTCCTTTACTAAATATCTAAAGCCTATTCACACCAAATGGAAGAAGATACAAAGAGATTATCATCTAGCAAGGCAGAAGGAATAAGAATCAGTAAACTGTTGAGTACTGCTTGTTACCATGTACTGTGCTTTCTGGTTCAGATACTACTTAATCCTTATAACACTGAGAGTGAATAAGATTCTACCATTTACATATTAGGGAATTGAAGATCTGAGGGGATACATAAGATGTTAATAAATAGGACAGTCAGAATTTGAACCTCTGGTCTGATTCTAAGAATCATTCTCTTCTCACCATAGCAAGCTGTTCCCTCGTCTTCTTCACACTACACAACATTCAAAGCATTTCACTATCTGGCTACAGACTTTGTTATTAGGCTGATATCTGTATAAATATAAAACACAAATACTGAGTGGCAGGGGTTAAAGTAATTCTGAGTTAAACTCTACCTAAGTTAGTCAGACAAAGCCACACAAAAACTGCTATCTAAGCCTAATTTATTTTGTTTCTTTTTTTCACCTGAACATAATTAGGAGTAACAGTTTTCCAGGATTTGCTACAGAAAAGACAGCAGCCCTGGCCCTACACTGCCGTGTCCCCTCACGAGAGATAATGACTTCAACTCATTAAATAGATTCTCTGAGTATTAACCTCAGTTTCTCTAAATAGTAAGTTCATTTTTCAGCTTTTAGATGTTTTAGTTTTAGGCATATGTTTGATGCCCATGCCGAAGGAGAGGATTTAGCTTTTTTTTCACACATTGTCCCCACTTCTACTAACATAAACCTTTTTTCTGTCCCCCCATTATCTAAATATCGTTAAATTGTCATTGTTGTTAGGTCAGTATTTACTTTTTACATTATTATGACAAGGTAAATATTACCTCCAGCTGTATAATATACTAAGATTACTTTTCCTTTCCTGCAGAATATTTTCTTGAAGTTGAAAACTGGTTCATATATTTCACATAGTTTCCTCTGTATGTATCAAGAACTTATCCACAAGTTCTGAAATGCCTATGTTTCAATATCAGACTCAACAGATATTCTACTAACTTTATCTTCCTTCAGACTTACTCTATTCTAGATTTTTCACTCTGGAGCATAACAGTCATCTATGGTCTCCCATGATCATCATACTGGGGATTACCTACATCTCTCTCTTTTGTGGGATCTCCTTTCATAGTCCCCACACCTGCTTTTCTGGCTTATTTCTTTATTTTAGCAGTGGATATCTTTCAGCAATTCTTTGAGAAACGGTACATAAGGATGTGAAGCCTTTGAGAACTTGCTTGTTCACAAATGTCCTTTTTTTATGCCCTCACACTCCATTAACATCCAGACTTTGTACAAAATTTTAGGCTGAAAATTGTATTTTCTTCTGAATTTTAAAGACATTTCTCCATTATGTTCTTTTTTCTAGTATTGCTGTTGAACAGTCCAAAGCCATTCTGATTCTTGACCCTTTGTAAAGATAAAAAAGATGTTCTCTTTGTACCAATATATTTTTTTTAAAAAAAAAAACTACTACATTGGTTAGAATAGTTTAAAATGCCATTTGAAGTCTCAGTTTACATTTACTTGATTACTGGTGCACAATTTTCATCTTTGTTTTTCTACTCAATTTCTGACAGGTATTTATCTTGCTGGAATAAGACAGAGAAATAAACCAACAAAATTACTTAAAAATAAAGTCTAGGATCCACAGGCTTATGGAATCCTATGCACTTTGAAATCATCTGGGGAGTTTGAAAAAGGTTGATACCTGGTTCTTACCTTCTACTTTGGTTTGTATGGCATGCAACCAAGCTATAGGTATTTTTTAAAGGTCCCTAGGTGATTCAGATGTGCAACAATGTTGGAAACCACTGGCCTAAGGAATTCCAGACTAGGAAACATCTGTGGCCATTATACCATAGGGCTCAAAATGAACTGGAGTTTTATTAGAAACGGAGAAATAGAGAGAGAGCACTCAGGACTTAGAGCATTGAAAATGCAAGACTATTAATTTTAACAAGAAAGTCGCCTCTTATGATTTGGTCAACACTACCAATAAAACATAGTAGATGCTATGTACTTAGAAGATCCCAAAGTCTACAGAGCAAGAGATGCCTAGAACATAAAATTCAAACAGATATAGAAGCTAAATTGTTTTAAAAATGGAGGATGAACATGCAAAAGTAAGAAGACCTCATAAAAATCCTGAATCCTGGAGGTGCTCTAATTCTTTGATTACTAGTGAAAAGGTTTTTTAAAATCTTTATTGATTATTTCCAAATATTTACAAATTTTTTAAATGTATAAGATGATAGCGGTGTCTTATATGTCACTACGTGAGAGAGGAGAAAGCATGGATATTTTACTCCATGATTATTTTATCCCATCATAAGAGAAGTATAAAGTCATAATTGTTACATATTTTTTTTTAACTTCAAGTAAGTCTGAGGTGGTGAACTCTAAAATATACACAAAATATATACACAGGCTGACAAATCTGGAAAAGCTAAATCCAATCTTTCACATTTTTTAGGTTATTCTTCTCTTTTTTCTAGAGAACACTGAAATGCTGCTATTTTCTTTCATGGTGACAGTAATACGAGTCTGGGGAATATGATTTAGCTCGAGGAAAATTCTGCTGTGCGTTATTGCCTCACACCCTCTGAAAGAGGGAAAACACAAGAGCTTTAGGATTGGGATAATTCATCTTCCAATGAAATGCTGAGAGAGGTGGCTCCATGTTGGGACAACATGGCTCTGCGTGAATCTACTAATAGAAGACTGCCTGCTCCATCTGACTGTGCTCTCTTTGCCTGAAATTGGAATAAATAAAACATGGGGGGGATTATTTTTCTCATTTTATTTTAGCAAGGAGCCGGGTCTTTATTTTTTGGACTCTAATTTCTCCATGGGCATTGAATAAAAGGTAAGGCATTATATTTTTTGTTCTCATCTTTTAAATATCACCCACTAAATTGTAGGTAATAGTGCTGACAAATAGAATGAAGGTGAAAATTCAGGATAGCCTTCAGGGGCCTGAAGTTAGTAGCATCTGTTCTGATGCATTTCAGTGTCCCTTGGGAGTAGGCCCTGCATTGCACATCCTAATGATTCCAGGAAGCTTCTGAAAGGAGTAGTATTAAGCACTCTGTTAGGAGGAGGACTGCTCTGATATATTTGTTGTCTCCCTAAAATGTGGCACTGGCATCCCAAGTTGATCAGAGGCTAACAGTGAGGTCAATGAATAAAATAAGGAAAATAGTATGTTTCCATAGAGGAGAAATGGTCAAAGGAGAAGTGACTAATTTAAGCTTTCACTCATAGTTGGCAACGTGATGCCTCACAGTAGATGAAACAGGTTCTAGCCCTTACACTCCACCAGGCCTCCAATGAGATGCACAAAGCTCTTCCTAAAAGCAGAAAGTCAACCTGGCTTTAGATCTAAATTTCATGTGGTAATAAAGTGAATCTCAGTGATCTCGGGTCTAAGCTTTATTGTTTAATTGATCAATTACCAGACGTGTTCCTTGCCTGG